CTCTTACTCTGGCACATAATTTGCTTTTTATTACTTGTTATGATTTTATAACTAAATATCCACTGTACTCCTTGCACAGTAAGTTGTACTAAAAGTTACACAAATGAAAGGGAAATTCTCAGGCTCCATGGAGACTACCATGAAAATATTTGCATAAATCTTTTAGGCATGTAAATGAGCACATGAATAATTTTATATTTATATATATTTAATAATGTTATACTTATTTTCATTTTTGCTAACTCTCTCTGCTTCCACAGTCCCTATGATAGTTCTCTCCTCTTCAAATACAGCCTTGTGTGAATGATTCACACATTTTCTGCATGCATTCTTGCATGGTTATACTCACAATGAACTCACACACTGTGCTTCTGGTGTGTTTATTGTATCATAAATTAATATTATCTATACTTTTCTTGTCCTTGTTAATATTTTGAGGTAAATAATGATAAGGGTATCTTCCAACTTTTCATCTGTTTCTTTATCAGTGGGCTTTCATTTACAGTTGTCCCCCACTACAAAATTTCACTGGGATGGGTCTCTAGAAGTGAGATAGCTGAAAAGATAATATTTTATTTAATTCAGTAGACATTGCCACAGTCCTGTCAAAGAAAGTTGTAAAAAAAATTTGTAATTTTTGCCAAAAAATAAGTTTAAAAATCCCTTCACATGCACTTCACTTTTGCCAACTCGTTGGGGTGAGAAATGTCATATCACTGTTACTTTAATTTGCATTTTCTCTGATTACTTGTGAGACTGAGTATCTGCTTTCTGATTCATGTTTAATTATCAAATATTTTCATTAAGCAGCAGATTTGAGGCAAGCCTAACAGGCACCCATATGGGCAACCCTGGGGTGAGGCAGCTGCTTAGCATTTTGTGGTAATTGCTTCAGATGCTTGTTCTATTCCCTTTACTTTCTGACAATTCTCCTCTCTCCTCCTCCTCCTTCCTCTCTGAATCTGTTTTGAAGAATTCAGCCATGTCAGTTGCCTGCCTCTTTCTTCTAAAGACAACCATCCTTCAGAGTTGGGTGCATCCATCTAGGACTTTTAAAAATTACTTATCTATTTATTCACAAACAAAATATATTAATACTTTGAGTTATAAAAATATGCACAGCATTTTCAATTCAATGTTATATTTTTAGAATTCTGCATCAAGGTCATTTAAGTTCTCTAATAGGTTCCTCTGTATGACTAAATCAGTTTGTTAATTTCTCTACTAAATATAGCTTTCCTGCTTTTCACTATTGCTCACAGAGCAATGAATATTCTTGTATATGTCTCTGTATTAGTTAGCTTTCCTGGTGCTGAAACAAAACACTTGACAATTCCAATTTAAGGGAGAAGAGATTTAATTTGGCTCACGGTTTCAGAGGTATCAGTCCATGGTTGGCTGGCTCCAAGGCAGGAACATCATAGCGGAAGGGTGTGGTAGAGCATAGCTGCTTACCTCATGGTGCCAGGAAGGAGAGAACAGGGCAAATGCCAGAGAAGAAAGATCCAGGGACCAGATATAGTCCCAAAGGTCATGCACTCATTACCAGATACACCCAGAATTGTACTTTACTAATTCAGATGTCATCAAATCTATCAAGTTAATAGGCAAGATTAACTCAGTCTCTCTGGATACCTGTGGGAAGTTTCATGGAGTTACAATCACTGTCCCAGGATTTGCGCAGCTTTGACATTCCTGATACCACCTGGTGCACTCCCAGCAATCAACTGATTTCCCCTCACCTAGGAGGAGAGCCCATTCCTCCATAACCTCACCAGCAACTATGTTTGCAGACTTAGTCAATCTGAATGCCATAGTTATCTTGTTTTAATTTTTCATCTCCCTTAATTATCAATGAAGTTAAGTTATTCTAACAGAATTAACATTATTTGAGTTTTTATGAATTGACTATCTATTGCGGCATATTTTAAAGAGTTGATTAGTGAGGTCTGGGCACGGTGCCACATGCCTATAATCCCAGGGCTTGGGTGGGTGAGGCAGGAGGATCACTGTGAGTTCAAGGCCAGCCTGGGCCACAGGGCGAGCTCACACCCAGCCTGTATCACACAGTGAGACCCTGTCTCAAAGTAAAAAAAAAATTTCTGAGAATTCTTCATATATTCCGAATACTATTTATTCTGTTAGATATATAAATTGCAAGTGTTTTCTACCAGTTAATTGAGTTTCATTTGCATTTTTGTGTCTTTTTATTGAGTTTGAGCTTATCAATATTTTACTTCATAGTCATCTTTGTGCCTGCTTTAAGACATCCTTGCTGACTTGATTTTATAAATATGTTTTCCAAGATTTTGTCTTAAATGTCCTACATACATTACTTTTAACAATGAGATATTTTCACCTGTGTAGAATTTATTTTTTTCTACACAAGAGTGATTGAAATATATGGTGAATGTTTAAATAAAAAACTTTATTACAGTAAAGGGCACATGGCCACTAATCCCCCTCAAAATACTCCCTTCACTCAAACACACTAATCACATTATTCTTATCTTTTGCAGAGCAGTTCTGGAAATTCATGTTTTTTTGAGGTGTGGTAAAACACACAGTGAATGCTGTTGCCAAGTGCCATCCAATGGAAAGGCAGGCTTGTAAAAAACATGGCATGTCCTTATCCACCTTATTCTTTTGGCTCTTCCGCAAAGTCAAAATTAACATGAAAGGTAAATGTTTTGAATTGATTTGGACATGGAGACAGCCAGGATACACACATGAAAGAGGACTTCCAGAACTGCTTCAGAAAGTGGCAAGAACGACAGTGTGTTTGAACCAAGGGGCAGTATTTTTAGGGGGGTTAATGGCAATGTGTTTTTTACTCTAATAAATTAAAAACATAAGCACTGTCTAGTTTTCAAACATGCTTTATTTTTTTTTTTTTTTTTGGTACCGGGAGTTGAACTTGGGTCCTTGTGCTTGCAAGGTAGGCAGCGCAACCACTGAGCTAAATCCCCAGCCCCCACGTGCTTCATATTTTAAGACAAGCATACCATTATTTCTTTTCCTGTGTACACGGCCCCAACACTGTTTATTGAAAGCCTCTCTGATCCCCGTAATTATGAACATTAAGTCTTCCCAATAAGACTCCTATCTGATATGTATGGATATCTAGGGACTTTGTTGTGTTCTATTGATCTTGTTTCTAATCTCCATGCCAAGCCCACAATTTCAATTATTAAACTTCTCCCTCTCTGGTAGGAGGAACACTTGTTCTTTTTCCTCTTTTCTTCTCTTCATCTTTATATCTTATTCAGTAAAATACATTGCCTGTTGTGTTTCCTTTTTATTCCACAGAAAATTTGGAATCATCTAGATGCATTCTACAAAAAATTCTGCTGAGATTATTTGAACCCTGACTTTATTAGACAAGACTTGAGTACAATGTAGTTTAATGTGCTCTTCTTGAGTGAATGGTTTGGTGACCTTTGTCTTCTGTATATACCTTGCTCCTATCAATATGGGACCTTCCCATCACCCCAGCCTTTGTCCCCGTCCTTCCCTCTGTCCTGTGGTCAGGCTGGTCCCTGGCTTTGCTGGACTTTCCAGAATGCATTTACATGCTCTGTGTGCCTGGCTTCTGCTCTGCACAAAGCTTTTGTGTCTTTTGTGTTGTTGCTTCTGTTAGCAGTTTATTCGCTGTTGTGGCTGAGTACTGTTCTTTGGTGTGCCAGGATCTGCATATCTGTCCCCCATCTATGGACACTTAGGTTACGTTAATCCCTGGTGATTGCACCTGAGGCTGCAATGAATATTGCTGAGGGTCCTTGTGTCAACATTCGTTCCATCTCTCCTGCGAAGGGACAAGCTGTGGAAAGCCAGGTTGCAGGGTGAGTGATGCCTAACATCACAAGAAACCACTGAATGGTTTGTACAGCGGCGAGGCTGTACTGCTTTGCCCATATGAGAGTTCTATTTCTCCTATATCCTGGACAGTTGCTAAATTTTAGTCAAATGTTAGAATATCTCATGGAGTTTTCCTTGGCATTTCCCTGATGACTAATAATACTGACCGTTATTTTCATGTGCTTATTTGCCCTCTGTAGTTTTGTTTTTGAGTTAGACTCCTGCTATGTCGCTCAGGGTAGCCTCAAAGTCTTGGGCTCAGGTGATCCTCCTGCCTCAGCCTCCTGAGTAGCTGAGACTATAGGTGTGTATCATTGTAGCTAGCTGGCCTCTGTACATCTTCTGTGGCATAATTCGAACGTGTATTTCAAATATTTTTTGCCTATTTTGTGCTAAATTGTTTGTTGTATTAAATTTTAAGTGTTCTTTAGATATATGATTTGTAATTGTTTCTTCCCAGCCAGTGGCTTATGTTTTCATTCTCTTAAAAGTATCTTTTGAGAAGTAAATGTTTTATATTATATGTTCAGTTTGTCAATTTACTTTTTTTGATAGGTCATATGTTTGGTGTACCATCTAAGCTGTCTGCATCCAATTCACAGCCACACAATTTCTCCTATGTACACTTTAAATATGTGCATTTTATGTCTGTGATCAGTCAGTAAAGCCAAGGGTCTTCAAGTAGTCCTCTTTCAACAGAGAAAAAATAGAATTTGTTAGTATTTATTAGTAATTTAATTCTGTGAATTTTTTAAAAAAGTAATGAGTGTTTGGAAAGGAAAGGGCTTTTGAGTGAGACCTGAGATCAGAGCTTGGTTCTACCACTTCCTTCTGGTACATTCTCAGATAAGTCACTTAACCAGTTTCCTATATAACCCAGGAGTAGTAACCACAGATTACAGATCTATAATGATTAAAAAAGAAGTATTTGTAAAGACATTCCTAAAGAGCCTTGCCTTACACAGGAGCTCAGGAATTGTGTTTTCTCTTCTATCCTAGGTCACTAGAGTCCCAAAGGTGGCCTGTTAATACCTATGAGTGACTCTGACACAGTGTGACCCTAAGGAAGGGTGCAATGCCAGATGTCCCCAACCCCGAGGGCAGGTTCCATGAGCAGGTCCATTATAAAGCCGGCCTGGGGGTTTAGGGTTCAGAGCAAAGTCATTTTTATTTTACTGAAAATTTCAGAGGCAGTTACATTAGTTATACATATACACACCGACTTAATAACTGTTAGTCATGGAGAACATTCAAGAATTACAAACAATGACTTATCCACAGCACAGTTCACATCCATAAGAAGAAAGGTTAAGAGAGAGATGATTAAGTGCTTGTTGTTCACTGAAACCTGCTTGTGAGATCTTTTTAAGAAAACTGATTGTTAGATGAAGCAAGCTGCTCTGCTCCTGCCCAGCCTGTCAAGCCTGGGTTTTGCTAGTTGGTAGCCCCTGGGCTTTGGCTGGTTTCTGGACCATAAAGCAGCTCTGGCCATGAGACCCAGGTGTGCGGTGTGAAAATGTGCGCATGCCCTGTGTGGCACCTCTTCCAGTTCCCCTGGACCCCAGGCAGCGGTGCAGGCAGACATGAGGGTGCTTATGGTTCCTGGTGCATGAGATCCAGTAGGGATGGGGAAGCTGGACTCCTAGCAGGTTCGGACCAGCAACATCCTGACCAGCCCCCTTTCCAGTAATACAAAGAGCGCATATGTTCTATCACTGGCCACCTGGCTGGTTCCTGTTTAAGTGACAGGTGATAACTGTTATGAGCAGATGGCCCTCATGGGTGAGCAGGCATGGTTTGCACACAGCTCATGGCTGGCCCTTGTGTGTGGGACAGCGAGCCTTCCTCAATGCCCGGGGCCTGCCTCCTCCTGTGCCAAGCTGTTTGGAGAACTGATACTGGCAGGTGTGGCTAACCTGGGGACATAATCGCTGTACTGATGCAGCAGACCCCAGTGTAAGCTGTTAGGGACTGGCACCTCCCCTCCCCACGGCACTGTTCTCTAGTAATGAAGTAACCAGAGGGCTGAACCTGATATGTTGGGAAGTGAAGGAGAACGTGGCTCCTGTGATGGCCTCTCGCTCCCCGAACAGAGCTAACAACAAAGCCAGAGCAGAGGGACATGCAGGCAGCGTGTTCTAGAACCTTCCCAGCCACTATCACCATTACTGGCCAGTCCTGGTGGCGCCTCAGTATGTTGTCGCTGATGGCAGTGACGGTGGGACCCTCAGCCTGAGGAGAAGCTGGGGAACATCCAGGAGACAGGAACCAACTCACTGCTACAGGAAGCCCCATGCCTCCCCTTTCTCATCTGGCAATGACCCGTCTCTGGCAGGAGGGGGCCTGGCTGGGCACGGGCTGCAGGCCAAGCAGACATCAGGGCCCACCAGCACCATGGCCTCCTGGGCCAGCCAGATGGGTATGGGGGATTCTTTTCCAAACCAGGTCACTAAGCCCAGTTCAGGGGTGTGTTCTTATGCCCTGGTGAGCTCCGCCCAGTCCTAGGCTTCTCCCTGTCACTCCTCATCTACTTTCTTACTGTCTACAAGACGGCTTCTGAGAATCACAATGAAATGCAGAGTGGGGACAGAAAAGACATGGGGCTCATACCCACCCATCAGACTCCACTCTGGTCACCGCCCAACTCCCAGGACAAGACAGGGAGGGAGGAGGTCAGGCCTTGGTGGTTGGTGATCACTACTCTCCTTATGCCGTGCCTCCCAGGACCAGGAATCCTTCACTGCTGAGGTCAGAGAAGCAGATGGGAGGTGGGTGGGAGCAAGGTTTTCTCTGCTGGTTACAGATCCCTCAGGGTCCAGCACAGACCACCAGGGCAGCAGCACAGTCGGCTGCTCTCTGGTGCCCCCAACTGTCCTCTGACATGCAGAGGGCAGAAGTGAACCTTCCAAACTCACAAGCTAAAGGCCACACCAAGTCTATTTCCCTTTCACCAAGAAATACTTCTTTGCTCCTAAAGCTATTTTTATGCCTTTTTTGGGGGGAAAGATTATGCTTGTTGCCCAGAGCAAGCCCAGCGCTAGGCACTGAGAGGGTGCTGGTTGGCACCAGGAGCCCAAGCTGGGGCTGCCCGTGGTTACTCCCATTTCCCCAGCAGCAAGAGCTCCTCTGAGGACAGAGCAAACACATGCATCTACACCCAGGACCCGATTACCACTGTCTACATGAGGACTAAAAGCTGCTTCTACAGACTTCAGGGCTGGCCCTCAGCTGGTCTCAGAATGGGGACCACAGAAGGCCAGGTCCCAGGGGAGGGCATCCTGCTGAGGAAGGCTGGCTTTTGACAGGTCAAAGGCCTGGGCACCAGGCAGCGCTCCCAGGGGCCAGAGCAACGGCCCTACTCCTCCCTGTACTTGGGCTTCCTCCATTCATTCATTTTCCTGACCTCTGGGACCTATTGGCAAGGACACGGTGCTGTGCAGTGTCTGCAGGGACTCTTGGAGGGACCACAGCTCTCCCAAGGGTGGGCTCCTCTGTCCCACGTGGGCATCAGAGGGCTGATGGGTGGCAGTGGGAAAACAAGGTGACTGGTGGGAAAAGAGGCCAACAAGGGAGACGGAGACAGCCCTCACCTGGGAAAGGTGCAGGAGGATGCAGGGGACTATAAAAGCCAAACACAGTAAGCCAGGGACCTTGGGCTAAGTGGGCAGCAGGCGGAGGCTTCTGGAAGTCAGCCAGTACTCCTGTTTTGAGTAAACCGAGGACTCAGGGCCCCAGAGACTATGTGGGAGGAGCCCAGTCCACTGCCTCACAGACCTGCACTCTCTGTGTCCCTCTGGGGGACAGAGCATCAGGTGCCCTCTCCACACAACAGCTGCTCCTGTCCACTCCAGGACATGGCCCAGGAGGCCAGGCATTCTGTCCCTGCTGTCAGTGAGAGATGTAAATGATGCCTGGGGCTCTGAGAGGAGGAAAGGCTGCTTCTCTTGCATGGAGGAGCTTGGTTCTGAAGCAGAGGCACAGACCAAATAACTGACCCCTCACAGTGAGTAGGTCCCCAGCCCCGGCTCCTGGTGACACTGTGGAAGGGCCAGCCTGTCGGTCCCCCTCCCTGCCGCCCTGAGCCAGCATTCTTGGTGAGGGCACTGCTGAGCACTGGGAGGGGCAGGGGGGTGCGTATTCTCGTTCTTACCCTCCTTATGGTCTGGATTCTACGCACCCACTCTGGCCACACACAACAGACACGAGGCACAACACACAAAACACACACATGTGTCTCACCACACAAAGCACAAACATCCACGTCACAATGGGCCCACAGGCACAGCAGCAGGGCAGTGGGCATCCCCAAGTCCCCACACTCCTCGGCTCCAGGGTGTGACAAAGGCCCTGACTCTCCCTGCCTCTTATCCCACCCCAGGCCACCAGCTAGCAGGTGTGAAAAGCAAGCAGAAGCCATTCCAGAGTCCCAGGCAGGCCCGCTGCTGCTCTGAGTTTCAAGTGAACTCCTCCTGGTGTACATCGCTTACAAGGGACTATTCATAGCTGAGTGTGAGGGCCAGAGAGCTCACCTCCTGAGCACACACAGATAAAATGCAATAAATACAACCAAGCCCCAGACGTCCAGCAGGGCCCTGGTCAGTAGCAACAGAGAAGCCAGAGCTGTGGGTGAGAGCCGAGTAGCGCCATGCCTGGGGGTGCGCAGGGGTGAGGGCACTGTGGTGGGGTCCTGCAGCAGGGCAAGCTGGTGTCGATGTCACAGCGCGGTGGTGGCCCTGCACAGGGGAGCCTTGCTCTGCCCACAGCTACTCAGAAAAGGGTGGGAACATGCCTAGGTCGGCAAAGTCCTCGATGTTATAGTTGCCAGTCCCCTGGGTTGGGTCTCCTGGCATAGGCAGCATGTCCTGCAGAAGAAAAGAAAGCAAGCCATGGGGGTCAGTGTCTTTGCCCTGCAAACCAGGCACATCCCCGAGCCCCACCTGCCACTCACCCTTGAGGCCACCTGTCTAGTGGGAGGCTGGGAAAGCTTCCCAGCCTGCAAGGCGGGGTCCCTGGGGACTGTTTAATTGGGGCTGTTAGGCCAGCAGGTGACACCTTTGTCCTCTGACACTGGGCCTTGGAAGAAGGAAGGCAAGAGAGACCCAGCCCAGCACCTCACAGACAGCAAAACACAACAGAAATGTAATCTGGTGGGACAGAGCAGGAGTGTGGAGATCTCAAGGGCAGGGCCACATCCCCAAGGCTCAGACTCCAGTTCCCCAAGATGCTCTGCCCTTCAAGTGCTCTGGACTCAGACTACCCATCCAGAAAACAGGAGCAGCAATTCCCAATGTCTCACTGGGCGTCTTGTCAAAGCCCAGCTCCTGTGATCATCTGTGAGAAGAGAATTCTGTGGACAAATAAGTTTGGGAAACAAGGCATACTTGGCCTACCTCCTAGAATTCTAGTCCTCACTGGGATAATAAAGGTTCTGATATGTCCTGCAGCAAAGAAACTGAGCAACTCTGTTCAACCAGTGTCTCATAAACTTATTTGACCAAGAATTCCTTTTAGCATCATGACCTTGGTTAGGAAATTCTGCCTGGTGAGGCCTCTCAGGAGGAGCCCAGAGTCCCAGCTGTGCAGAGAAGGAGCCAGAGACTGGGCCAGGGCTCCCTGAACACTGAAAAGGGCACTGCCTCGGTGGGCCCCCAGGGGACACCTGGCTCTGGACCTTCTTCTGTGAGGATGTTTCTTGCTCTGGCCTCAGGGCAGCTCAGGATGAGGATGAGGCAACTGAGGCATGGACCCTCAGGAAGGAGGAAGCCATCTGAGGAACTCAGATGTGGCTGCCTCCCTCAACTTGCCTTGCACTGGGACAGAGTTGTGGGGCTCTGGCTGAGGGACAGTGGGCCCACAGCCTTCCCAGAGCCTTCAGGGAAAGCGTTCTTGCTGAGCTACAGCACTGGGGTTGGAGGCAATGCCCATCCCCACTGCCCGGGTCTGCCCCAGTCACATGGGAAACCAGGCCTGTCTTGACCAGTGGCCACCCTGAGTCAGGGCCTGCTGGCCTGTCCTGGGTACAGTGCAGGGGGAGGCAGCAGGGCAACTGGAGGCCTGTACTCTGGGGGCCCTATGCACCTGCCCAGGCCAGGCCCTCAGCCTCTGCTCTGCACCTCTCCAGGCAGCCCCGGCACGGGCCAGAGAGGGGCTCCCAGTGCAGCCTCCCCTGTGTGTATTGCACCACAGGCACCTGCGGCCATTCTACCTCTGCCTCTCTCTAGCCCAGGGCAGCCAGAACTCACACTGGCTCACTAGGGGCAGGCAGCGTGCGGCAGGAAGAGGGGGAAAGGAAGCAGAGAGAAGGCGCAGGTACCTAGGAGAAGGCGGTGCTCGCTCGATTTACCTGGAACACTTCAGTCTGGCCAGGCTGCTGATGGGAGTGCTGCTCACCGCTCTGCTGCCCGTGGTGCTGGCTCTGCCACTGCGACCAGACCTCGGAGGGCCGCCCCTGGAACTGCCCGCTGCTCTGTCCACTCTCAGCTGAAAGAGCCGACGCACGGGACACTGCCTTAAAAGCTGCCCCTGGCTCCGCGTCACCTAAGAACCACCATGGCTTGGAGGACCCAGTTGGTTCCCTCTTCCTATGACCTGGAGCATCCCCCATTCCTGCACATTGAGGGCTCCCCACACCCGCTCCTGAAAGACATTTGCTGCACAGTGCCTCTCCCACTTACTCTGACTGAAAGAAGATGAGCCAGGTAGGAGGAGAGACTGGGAGGCCTCAGCTCTCCATGAGACATACCCACCAGCTGACCACGGATGTCCTCCAAGCCCCAGAGCCTCCCACATTTTTTGTACCCACTCGTGGAGGCCTTGGTCCTAGGATCCTGGAGCAGTAGGACACCCATGGAATCCACAGTGAATAAGAGAAGCCCCCTCTTCACAGGGCAGCCCTGCCCTCCAGATGCCCCTGCCACGGGCCGCTCTCCTGATACCAGTACTGGGGCAGAGGTTTCCCAGGTCTTCTGAGAACCACCAGCCTCACACAAGGCCTCCTAACCTCCAGATGGGCCACCCAGTGTCCCCCAGGCCCTGCTGAGGCACCACCACCTCCCTCCTGCCCAGCTCTGGCTGAGAGCTTCTCTGTGGGCCTATGAGGAAAAAATCCAGGCACTGCTCAGATGGAAGACAAGCTCCTCTGCAAGGATCAGCAAATCAGTTTACAAATGAGAGCGGCTTTGCTTCTGTCTACAGTTTATGAAAAATACCCAAGTGGGACAATAGCAAATAGAAGAATGAGTAGAACGTGGTCTAAAATGTCTTTGAGATTTAACCAAAGAGAATTCCTAAGGAAAAATAGCCTTTAAGGCGGATATAGCAAGGCACATCAAGCACCTTAGGTACTTTTCCCATTTTAAATCATTAGACAACACTGATCAAGCAGTGTTCATCAGGAGGGGTGGCGGGCTCTGCATCCTGCCCAGTCTTGCCCTTTCCCAGAGCCAGGCTGACCACAGGCAAACCTCACACATACCCCTCCTGGTCCCAGTTACCCTCAAGCGAAGTAGGAAATGCTCAGGGGCAGTCTACACCCACCCTGCACATGCTGCCTGAGATACAAAGGGCTTCAATACAACACATGCTCCTGAGTAACTCCTCTTCATGATGAGAACACACAGCAAAGAGTTCTGTAAAATGCAGGAGGGTGTACCCTCCCTTGCTGCAGCCTGACACCCAAGCCCACTGCGCCGAGGGGATTCTGCTGCAGAATAAGCCCCAGAGGCAGGCAGTGAAAGGCCTGATCTGAACTGACTAGATAACGAGCATGACCTCCTGGAGATCTAAGTGCAGATGGATGTTATTTGGCGGCGGTGCACACATAGGTTTCTTTCTGGAAGGAGCCCAGTGGTCCCCAACATCCAAAGGCCATGTGTGTAGTCACACTAGCTGGGTTCTTTTATGTGTGACTCCTGAGCAAAACCTAAGTGGCTGCCGCTGTGGCTGGACACCTGGGCCACCAGCCAGGCTGGGTATCCTGGTAGATTGTGTTACCGGCAGCCACCACCTGGGCCAGCTGGGAGGCTTCCAGAACCTGGGTCAGAACCTTGAAGAGCTTGTGCTTTCTTTCCTACGTTATGGAGTCAGGGTGGCATCTTCCTTCCTTTTTCTGTTTTTTTTTTTTTTTGGTCCCAGGGATCAAACTCGGGTCCTCATGCTTATGCAGCAGGCAGCAAAACCACTGAGCTAAATTCCCAGCCCCTTCCTTCCTTTTAACTGAAGTTTGATGCTATAATTTCAGTCTTGGTAAGTAACATTTTTCTCTGTATGCCCTTGGCTGATTTAGATATTGCCCTAAGACTCAAGGCTCATTTGAGGTTCTGCTCAGAGGTGGCCATGGGATTGGGCTTAGCTCAGTATCTAAGCCAAGAGTGACAGTGCTAGCCCCAGAGGACATGTGCCAATGTACGGAGGCATTTCTTATTATCCTAAATAGTAGAACACTAGCAGGTAGAGGCTGAGGCTGCTGCTAAACACCCTACAGTAAAAGATTGCCCTTCCCACAAAGAATGATCCAATCCCCAAGTCTACAGTGTAGAGGTTGAGATAAAGTCAACAGAGAACACCAGAGGGGCAGCTCATTCTCTTATAAATGCCTTCCAGGGCCTCTCAGCAGGGACCATCCACTTCCCAGCCTTTCTGACTGGACCTCACCTTCCCAGCGCTAACTAGTAGGAACAGAGAGGTCTGCAAATGTTTCAGACTATGGTGATTCTGTCCTCTCCCTCCCTGAGCGCCCCCTCTCCTGCTCCTCTGTAATTATGCATCCTAATTTTCACCTTGAGAATAGCCAGACACATCCTTCCATTTCCCTCTCTAAAGTCAGTCTGGCTGCATGGGGCAGGCCAGGTGGGTGTGGCTCTCTTAAAGAAGGGTGATGTCACAGATGTGTTTCTTGTGCTTTTAGTTCATCTGCCATGACCTGACTTGATCCGTGTAGACCTGACACGATTTATGTCATGCATGAATGAGCTTCTTTAGCTACCTCGTCCTGAACTGAAAGGCATGAATAGGGAGGCATGGACGGGTCTGTGCTTGCTGGTACCCAGAAGCAAACTGCTAAGAAAGTATTATGCTACCTTAGCAGAAGTTAGGGAATGAAAACCTGGCCTCTGCCGGACCTGGAGCCACTTCTGTTTCCTGGACCTTTGTGCTTGGTTCCTTGCATTTCCGTAAGAAACACGATATTGATGAGCAGATGTCTGGTGGTAGTTCAGACAGAGAAGCTGACAAGTGGAGACACAGGTCATACACACCTCTGCTAGCTACCAGCTTATTGCCTCACAGCTCTAAATTCCCCTCCTTGCTTGCTTTATGATCCTCCAAACCACTGGTTCCCAACCTTTTCGGCACCAGGAACCAGTTTCATGGAAGATAATTTTTCCATGACGGGGTAAGATGGTTTGGGGATGATTCAAGCACATCACATTTATTGTACACTTTACTTCTATTTTTATAACACTGTAATATATAATACAATAATTACGACTCAACCATAATGCAGAGTCCGTGAAAGCCCTGAGCTTGTTTTCCATCAACTAGATGCCCTCGTCTGGGGGTGATGGTATACAGTGACACCTGCTGTGTGTTGTTGATATCCAGTCTACTCTGTAATCTCATTTTGGTTGCTGTCACTGAAGAAAACCCTGCTTCACAAAGATAGGATGTTGGAAATGGAAGCAGGCTTTTCAGTGATCTTGTGGCAGTCTCGGGATATTCCTCCTTGACTTTAATCCAAAAGGCATGGAGATTTGAAGTTGTCTCAAACACACTTTGAAGGCCACATTCATTTTTTATTTCATGCAATCAATCCTCTTCCAGCATGAACAAAGTCCGTCCACCTGGCTTATTCACAAATGAGTTGCGGACCCATTCCTTCCAGTTCAGAGTCTTTCGCAGTTAGGAAGTAATGCTCATACTATTTTGAAAGCTGAGATAAGTGATCGTGCACCAGCTGGGAGAAAGAAGGCCCTGGCTCAGTCTCTTTCAAAATCTCTGCTAATGTTGAAACATCAAAAATCCCAAGGTTCACTCATCATATCCACAATTCCAGTTTGGCTTTGAATGCAGCTACTTTATCGCTGACTTGAACACAGTTTCATTCTCCTCTGAAGTGACAGACTGACATCATTGAGCAAGTTGAATATGCTAGTGTCACACGATTAAGTTCATTCTATGTCACTGAAGTGTGTTACCAGTGGTGACTGTTTTTCTAAAAGAAATCTCTGGAGTAACTCTCCTAATTCAGAAACCACAGCCAGTGATCTACCTTTAGAAACCCACCTCACTTCTGGGTATAAGGGGAAACACATGTGCTCTGCATCCACCTCCTCACAGAGCTTCACAAACAGACATTAACAGCATGTACTTTATGGATATGTTGATATTTCAATCACATTCTGTAAAACATTATTAAGCTTAGATGACATTTTTCAGGTAGCCAGCATTTCTCTATGGACGACACAGTGTGTATACTCATATTCAGAAGTAACCTCTCTGACCTGAGTAGTGAAGCCAGAAAGCTGTCCAGTCATGGCAGCTGCTTCTTCCATACATATACCAACACAAAATGACCAGTTCACTTTTCCTGATATGTAATCATTAAAGACATGAACAGTTCTGCAGCTATGGTGTTGGCTGGCAATAAAAGTACACACAACATATCCTCGTACACCTCCTCCTGAAAAACATACTGCACAGAAAGAAGCATTGTTTCTTTGTCGTTAAGAGTTTATGTTGGTGACTCACCAACTTACAATTCTTACCACAGTGACTCCTTAATCCTCTCTAACAACTGTGCCTTAAGATCCTCTGCTATTTCAAGTTGTCTAGTTACAGTGCTAGCCAAAAGAGAAATACATGCCACCTTTGGAACCAGCCTGTCCTAATAGTTCATGACAATGTCCTCAGCAGGAGGTAGGATCAACTCTTCATCAACAGGAAAGGGCTTCTTAGCTTCAGCAATGCCGTTAGCCACTAAGAATGATGCTCTCAGCACGGACACATTTGATAAAGTGGTAGCCTTCAATGATTGCATCTCACATGTATTTTCCTCTGAAACTCTCTAAGAACTGTTTATTAGTGCAGTGTGTTTGCTCTCCACGTGGAGAAGCAGCTTTGAAGATTTCATGGCTTCATTGGCTAGCCTATCACCACATACTACACAAAGCAGGCTTGGAGAATGTAAGTTACTTGCTCAGTGAACCCATAATTTAAGTTAGATTCTTGGTATTTTCTTTTAAATGCAGTTTTCTTTTTGCTGGCAATCTTAGAGTCTTCTGCTGTCTCATCATTACGTCTTTCCTTCCTTTCAAAGAAGCTCTCCAGCACTGTTTATTTTTCACTCATTTTGGCTAGGGTTAGCTTGTGGGCTTATTGAAACTGTCACTAAAACAAGTAATGCTCCAATGAAAGTGGTAAATAAAATAACAGGGAGGTTACGCACAGACTAAAATAAGTGTTGGATTCTGACAAAGCTTGGCACAAGAAGCAGCTGTACAACTGAAGCACATCAATTCACCTGTCACTATACAGCGTGCCAGCAGATGTAGCTCAATTATCATTTTCCACTTACTAGTAGGTTTTTGATCTGAGTGTGCAAGTAATTGATTTATTATGGTCTCTGTGCAGTCAGACCTCTCTGCAAATGTTCATCTGGATTTGCAGCTGCTCCCCAGGACTAGCATCACCACCTTAGCCCCACCTCAGATCATCAGGCACTGGATTCTCATGAGGAGCACACACCTAGATCCCTTGCAATGTGTATTCCACAGTAATGTTAGAGCTTCTCTGAGAATCTAATGCTGCTGCTGATCTGACAAGAAGTGGAGCTCAAGTGGTGATCTGCGCAATAGTGAGTGGCAGTAAATACAGATGAACCTTCACTCACTAGACCACGGTTCACTTCCTGCTGTTTGTGCTGGCTCCTAACAGGCCACAGACTGTTACTGGTCCATGGCCCTGGGGTTGGCGATCTCTGCTGTAAACACATCTCCTGTGCCAGCTTTTGCAATATTATGTGCAGTCAATGGAGGGCGTTGGAGAGACAGGCTAGGCACAGCAGAGGAGGGGGCTTCTCCTCCCAGGCCAGATGGCTTTTTTAACAGCAATGAGCAAGTGCTCCAGGGGACTCACTTTTCACCCTGTTTCTCTGCCACCAGAGAGCTGCCTCCAGTTAGCCAGTCTACCTGAAGGCCCTGTTCTGTTTGTGGATAAATCTGGGCCACCTGATGGGTGGTATTTACAGATTCTGACCACCTGTACCTTCTAGAGATCTGCTCAGCCAGTGGACAGGCATCCCAGAGGTCAGCCGCAGCTAGTGCCCTGCAAGTCTGCCATTCAGTCCTGAATCCAGGAGGCAGTTGCACCTTCTCAAGGCTGAGCCTCAGGCTTTATAGGGCTGGTTCTCCTCTTCCAAGGTCTTACTTCTGTTCTTGTGTAGTCCCCCTCCACTTTAGGACAGGAAGCTGCCACTCACGTTGGCTTTTCCTGTATTCCTCAGGCGGCTCCTCCTTTGCCAGCTTTTATTGAACTTCCCCTTTCAAGTCACCAGCGTGATTCCTGTCTCCTGATGCAGCCTGGCGAGCATACATCTTCCCACTGCATCGTTGCGAAGATAAACAACTGAGCTGGTCAGAGTTCACCATGCCAGGGAGTGTGTGGTTTCCTACTTCTGTTTCTGGATGCCACTTTTCACATGACCCAGTGTTTGCTGTGACCCAAGTCAAAATGAAAATGAGGCTAAGGCTGTGACACTGCCTAGCTTGGGACCTCAGCAGACTCAAGTAGGAGAGATGCTCAGGTGGAAACCAGCCTGTGTACACAGAAGGGAGCAAAAGGCCCCTTAGTGTGTGAACTTAGGCCACAAGGCCACCCGAGGAGCCCAGATGCTGCCAAAGTACTGGCCCAAGGTGACACGGTGTGCTTACTGCCTCACAATGTCACCCCTGGGCCTGCTGGATCACTGGGTGCCTGCTGGATTAGCCAGTCAGAGCATGAGGCCAGGACTGGTTGCTGTATCTCTGGGCTCCAATGCCTGGCAAGGGTGACCAGCTGGGGACATGTCCCATGGGGGTGCTGTCACATTTAGGAGCCAGGCTGTGTCCACAATGGCCCTGGGCCTACACCAGACTGGCACAGGTGCCCCTTGCCAATGTACACACTACGGTTTTAACAGCTAATTTAACCTTCATGGAACTGATGCTCAGTGGCGCCCGCTTGGTGCCTTCTCACTGCACAGCTCCCTGCACCTCTCTGCTGGCCCGCAACCCCTTGGTCCTTTTCCTGGACATTTCTCCTCCCACCCTGCCTGGGACCCGCTTCCTCATCCCTGTGGAGCCATGGCTGACCCAGCTCAGCAGCCTCTTCTCCGGCTCCCAGTCTGCCTGGTGTGGACTCTATGCTTCCCTCTACCCCGCAGCATCCACCTCATCAGAGGACAGACCAGTGACGCATGAGGGCACCCTCTCCACTGCCCTGCTCTGCAGCTCCCTCCATCCTCACTCTCAGCCTGACTCCCACCACCGCGTCTGCTTCTCACACCACTTGCGTCTGATTCCTCCGTGGGGGATGATGTGAGGCCACAGCAGGGCTCCAGCTCCCTCCCCATTAATGCAGATGAAGGCTCTGTCAGTTCTGAACTCTGCTGGCTGGAAGGTGATGGGAAGCACCAGGCAGTGGGTGCAGTCCCTGATGACCCTGGGTTCCCTGATGGGCTCCCCACGCATGACTCTACTCTCACTGACTATGAGGCCTTGTGCCTAAGTTTATTTACTTGTGAAATGGAAATGATAATGATACCCCTCTCTTAGGGCCATGAGAGCATTAAATGAATTGAAATGGTTGGGGCAGGAGTGGCCTGGCCACCATGCCTATGACCATAACGAGACACTCCCAGGCATGTGAGACAGACACATGACCGTGCTGGCCTCCTGAAGACCTGGCAGTCAGTGCCCATCTCTGGGCAGTGCACTGTGCCCTGTGCCATCCCTGTTTCCACACAGGGCCCAGCTGTCACACAGGCCTTGCTGAGTTAAGAGTAAATCGGTGCCATCAGGTGCCCATAGCTTCCAGGACGGCCTAGGCACCCATGGCACCTTGAGCCTTTGAAGACCACCTTGGGAGGAGGCCACAGGGGTCTCTCCCTATCCAGGCAAGGGTCAGGTGCAGGGCACGTTATCATGCGTGCCAGTGGGAGGGGGAATCCAAGACCTCAGCCTCAGGATGGTGTGAGCCGGGGCCTGGCTCACCCAAGTGCCCAGGAGAGGCCTCTTCCTTCCTGGAGTGCACAGACGCACTCACTTCAGCACCACTGAGCCACACAGCAAAGACACATAGTCTGCACACAAGCACTTGCCACTCCTATGGAGGCTGGTGCAGGAGGACAGCTGACTCCTGGGGATGAACAGGTGGCAGGAAGTGCTGAGCCCAGGCCCCTAGATGAGAGCAGAAGCACAGCCACCGACGGTGGAGGCCAGAGGGTGGCTGACAACCCCATACCATGGGCTAGGTTGGAAAGGCTGAAAGAGAAACCATTTAAACTAAAGCTCACAACTTTCCATGTGGAAACTCGGATGTCTGGGCTCAGGGTCATGCCTCCCAGCTGGGTGTCACTGGCGACAGCACTGTGACCTCCTTCTGTGGCATGGACCGCTGGCCCTGGGAGAGACATTAACCCCGAGGTATGCCCAGGAGGAATGAGCAGTGGACCCTCTACAGCCTGAGATTTTGTTAACAAAGCTGAGGAAGTTGTTCTCATATGCAATGTGATCCCTCCTTTGCAATATTTTTTTCCCCTAGCAATACTGAATAAAGAGCTTTACAGTGTTGACATAGTTGCTCATCTCTGCATTTGATAGTTTCTGAAACAAGACTACAGGGTTTTGACTTGGGGACCTGAAAGTCCTTGCAAGGGACACAAAGGGTGACAACAGCAGTCAGGTGCCATCGGAGCATGGAACATAGTTCCCATCCCTTGAAAATGATAAAGTCAAATGACAGGGCCAAGTCTAAGCATCTGACATCTTGGGAGCACCATGAACCTCCTCTTTCTGGCAAGAGAGAGGACAGGCTCCCAGAAACTCAGAACCTTGTCCTGGTACTCCGGAAATGCAGACAGATCCGAGTCAGGATGCTGAGAAAGCACTTGTGTGTGGCTCCCAGGAACGCTTCCCTTCCTCCCCACTTACCGAACCCTGGAGTCCTGTTGGCAAGACTGGAGTAGGCATTCCCACTTGGTGAGGAGGTGGCCGGGCTGGAGAGAGGACTGTAGGAAGCCGGGTCTGCCGGGTAGGTGTGGCTCGTCCCAATTCCGAAGGGAGATGATTGGGTCTTACTGGCCTGAGAAGGGATTTGCTATCATCAGGTTGAGACATCACCAGCCACCTCCTCCCACTGTCCCCGGTCGATGCCCTGCAGGTGCCCCAGGCAGTGGCAGGGCCTGCTCTGGGTCAACTGGTACTCCCATGGCTCTCAGGCCTGGCTGGGCACAGGTCCTGGACACTGAGGGTGAGTCTGGCTGAAGGCACCCTCAAGACTACAATGACCTAGGTTCCCTGGTTCCCACAGGTGAACACCACAAGCTTCCTCACTCACTAACGCCTGTCCTCCCTCCCAGCAGTTGTGAGGGGCTGGGTGCATCCTCATGGGTGGTCAGCTCCAATTAGCAGTGCTGACCGGCCCTCAGAGCTGGGGCCCAAGGAAGCACATCAGAGTGCTCTAGGACCCCGGGCTATACCTGTCCTGGGAAGGGTGGACGGCTCCCTGTCCATGCAGCCTGACTCTGGCTTAGCTGCCGGGAGATCTGGGACATGTTCTGGCCCGTCGATGACGAGGACTGAATATCATTCACTCCAGGCACGTGAACCACTGAAGAGCTAGAAGAGAGGTAAGTGTGTTTATCCCGAGGGAGCCTGGAGTCCACGTCCCCAGCCATGCTCTCGCCCAGCAGCCTATCCTGCCCTGCCCAGCAGTCCTGCCATGTTCATTTGTGTGCTCAGCCTCCTCCCAGGTCTCATGGCCTCTCTGCTCAGCCCCATCCCTGCTTCTTGACATGCCCTGGTTCTCACAAAGACAGAAATAATCTCCAAATGCTAACGTACTCTTTGTGCTCTGGCTAACTATCCCTTTGGGGTGGCTAGAAGGCTTGGAGCTGTAGGGGGTCATTTAGTTCCAAACAGAGAGGCGAGCCTGTCCAGTGACCTGCTGGCTGGGGCTCAGTCCCATTCCTCAGAGCATACCAGTGTTGCCCTCTCTGTCTCATTTCCATTTAACAGGGCGAGTCTTCACCAGGCATGTGCTATGTGTGTCACCCCATGTGGCACTCTCTGCATGGCCTTTGCAGGTCCAATCTTGGACACTGTCCCTGCTCCCAGCCATGTTTCTATGCTGCTAGCGCCTCCTACAGGAGACGTATCCAGCCCTTCTGGTGGCACCATCAGCTCACTAATGATGGAAAGGTGGGCAAGACCTCCAAGTTGTCTCAGGCCCCTCCTCCTGCCTCCCTGGGCCTGATCCAGTGTACAGGGCCAGGCACTGGGTGCCAGGAAAGAACCAGTGGGGTGTGAGGGTCCAATCCCAGCAAAGCTTAATGCAGGTGGGTGTTCAGCCCAGTTTGAAAAGGGAGGCAGGGGACAGACCCATGCAAACGACTGGGTACAATTTTACTGTGTTCTATCATTTCTCTGTGTTATCCAATCCTTAAAGTCATGAAACAAGTTCAGTTGCTAGCATGATGAGAAATACCATTCTCATCTTGCTAAAATCAGGTCTGCATTCAGGACAGGGCTCCTTCCCCCTCTTCCTACTGATGAATGCAGACTTTGGAGGGCATTTTCTGATCACTGTTCTTCAGGGGGACTCTGGCATCCCAATGCCCTCAGTGCCCTTCCCAGGACACTGATGAGGGCCCTAGCAAAGGCACTCTGGCTGAAAGGAATAGGGTTCTTGGGCCACAGTACTGGTCCCTGTACCTAGCCCTCCAGATCCCCAGAGCTGTATGACACAGACAGGCCAGGACCTGTGGAGCTACAGCAGAAGGTCTCTGGGTGAAGACATACTTAGGGATGCCAGTAGTGCCATTCTGCTAGGGGAACAGGCTGCTCATGACTGAGACAGGCACTGGAACCCTTCATGCCATGCCCCTCCTGATTCTGAACCAGGAAATTCTGCCCATTAGGTGGGTTTTAACCCTAATAGGCATTTCTCTACCCATCCACTTATCCCCTCATTTTGCCCCCATCCACTCACCACCCATCCTTCTACCCACCCATCCACACAACAGTCCATCCACCATTATCCACATGTCCATTCACCCACTTATCCATGCATCCACATACCAGTCAATTCATCCACCCATCTACCATCCATTATCCATCCATCCATCCATCCACCCATCCATCCATCCATCTGTCCATCCATCCATTATCCATCCATCCATCCATCCACCTATCCACACAACCATCTATCCATCTACTCACCCATCCATCCCACATACTAGCACTTCAAGTGCCTTTCCTTTGCCAAGCTCTGCACAATTACTGGGTGCTCTTTGAACTCCTTCCCCACACAGCTAGCAGCCCCAATCCTACCCTCCTCTGCCACTGCCCTCCAAGGTACCCCATTCACTCATTTCTATACTCAGGACAATGACAAGCTGGACTGTAAACCTTTGGTACCCCTCTGTATCCTCACCCCTGCACTCTGCCCCACGCTGCCACGCAGAACTTTATGGTCCCACTGCCATTAAGTCGTTCTTTTTCTAAAAGCCATCAATGATAAAGTCCCAGTTCCCTAACTATGGCCCCTGGAAGTGCGGGCTCACTGTCTGCTGCCCCCACACGCAAACCTCCATGGTCTTCCTGCCTCCTGGGCTGTGCTCTGCACACTCCTCACGCCCAAGGCATTGTCCCCTTCTTGGGAGAAAGAACCTGATTCTGGTTCCAGGGCAGCTGAGGACCAGACAGGCCTTCTCTGCATACCACCTTAGGCTGACCCCTTGCCTGCCCTTGACTCTGACCCCTCCTTTCCTCCCACCACTGCTCCCTGCCTTCCTTTGTCCCATAGCCAGTGCTCGAGGACATCAGGGCAGGGACCTGGCAGGGCCAGCACAGCCTGCGCCGTTAGTGTGCATGGGTTGGCTGAGTAGTATAGCAGGAAAGGGAAGCCCAAGGCCTGACCACTGCTTGGCAGAGGCATGGCCTGTGGCAAGGGGGGCTCTGTAGTTTGATATTGCCCTGCTGGCCTGGCCAGAGCCACTCCACCCTCTGCTGATCCCCTGTGGCAGCTGAGCCATCCACTGCCTACCCAGGAGGCCTGTCCTCAGCCCTATGGGCAAGTGAGACCCTCGTCCCCTGGTGTTCAGGGCAGTCCCTCAGCAGTCCTATTCCTAGGTGACCCCACTGGCTGACCCTGGTTCCTGCCTACATCTGGGGCTCTGGTCAAGCTCCCTAGAGGTTGAGCCACAGGAAGGCTCCGCCCTGCCAGGCACAGGGTCTGGGACACATCTCCTAGAGTGTCTGGGGGTGTCTGTGGTTGCATAGGAGTGACACCCTCCCCAAGGGCTGCCATCTCTCCTTGCCCAGTCCCCAGCAGGAAGTGCAGCCCTGCCTCACCTCCAGGGATGACCTCTGGGCCTCTGCAATGATCTAAGATGCCCTGAGGCTGAGAACCAAGCCTGGGGAAATCCTGGCCCCTGCCTGTCCTTCTGTAGCCCTTTGGCTGAAGGCTGGACAAGATGGGCCTAGGCCTCTCATCCTTGGGCTTGGACATAGTCCCCGAGGGCCAGGGAATAGGGTGCTTCCTTACACCTGTCAGCTGACCCCAGAACTGCCTCTCACCTCATCATGGCTGGAACCCACCCCTTCCTTCTCCCCAGTTGGGCATAGCCAGCACCCCAGGACCCTTGGCATGGCTGTAGAGCAGAAAATACTGGATGGAATGTGCGGCTGGCAGAGTGGACTTCTGAGACCAGGTCTGCCCTGAGGGGTGCTGCCCCATCTACCCACTGTACCTGAAGGCCTTTCCTGAGTGTCCAGGAGGGAACGGGCTTCCCTGGGAGTAGATCTGCTGGGCTCCTGCTGCCGAGGTGGAGCTCATCATCTTCTTCTCCGCTAGAAAAACCAGAGTGGGCATCACATGTGAGGGTCCCTGCCATCAGAGCATGGGCGACCAGCCCAGCACAGGCCCAGGCAGGATGTAGGGCGCAGGAGGGAGCCCTCAGCTGCTGCTCCTGCCTCCTTGGATGGCCACAGCTACCTGCAAGCCAGGCCGTCTGGGAGAGCTGGGAAGATCAGAGACTGTGAAGAGCCTCACTTCATTCCCTTTCCCACCTGGGGATGTGGGCAACAGGTGTGGATGGATGGGTGAGGAGGGCAGGGCAGTGGTCCACAATACCCACAATGACCCTCAGGCCTGCCATGGACCCTGCTCTGCCCTGCGGATGCAGGTGCCCCTCAGACACTCTTTCAACTTGCTGCCTCAGTTTCCCCTCCTGAAAGAAGGCAGTAATCAGTCTTTTCCCCTTTGGGCTGTGGTGGGAACCCAGGATGTGAACAGAGTCGAGTGCTTAGAACTGAGCATGGTGACAGAGCCAAGAGCATCTGATGTCGCTGTTTGTTCCAGACGAGGAAACCAAGGCTTGCTGTGTGCAAGTGAGGAGACAGCACAGGAGGGCCCAGGCTTGAGCCCCAGCCTGCAAGGGCTGCAGCAGGTGGTATAGATCCTGCGTGAGGAAATGGCCTCATGGCCCAGGGAGGAACAGGCATGGGAACAAGGACAAACACAGGCCCAGTCAACAGCACTTAAACACATCCCTGCTGGTCACTGGGTGCCCAGGCTTGGGGACACACCCTCCCACTGCCCCAGAATCTCAGAACACCTATGCCTCTAATCCCTGCCATCTCTGTCTCCATCAGGAAGGTAGAAGCGGGACATAAGGACTAGCTGCAGGGCAATCTCTGTGCATCCAGACTCTGGTCCGCGTGTACCCTCTGTCTCGGTGTGCTGCGGCAGCTGCTCTTGGTTGGTGCTCAGGCTCATGGTTTGGGACTGAGGGGCCGTGCCTGTGCCAGGGCACCCACACATATGTACAGTCTCTGTGATGCCTCCATGCGGAGGAGCCCGGAGCCGCTTCATGGCCCACTGGCTTTGCTTGGTGACACCGTATGGCAGTGGAAGTCCTTAAGGACAGAGGTGCTCAGCCTCCTGGGCGAGCATCTCTACCCAGTTCCAGGCCATCAGCTCTGGGATGAGGAGCAGGAGTAGAAGAGGACAGACAAGGCTAAAACCTGGAGGAATGAGGTCAACTTAGGCCCTTTACTTTCTATACACTAAATCCAAGCCCCTACTTTTTCTCTGTTTTAAGATTCTTGGTAGTTTGGATAAATAATAAACATGGCTTTTCTAACTGTTCCAGAACATTAGTCCTTAGTAGGGTACAAGACTATGTGTGTATGTATCTGTATATATGTGTGTATATTATTCAATCTTTCTATCTTTATTACTTTGATCTACCTGCTTTGTAAAGATGAAGAAAGGCACACAGAGATCATCCACTACTATTTAGCTTTATCAGTGTCTTCCTGTGTTTGTAATGATCTGGGCTTTCCTGTGTTACAGGGTTCACAATATTCATACCCTCATTTTAGGTTGCTTCTTCTACCTTTATGGCCCAACCTCTGCCCATGGGGAGCTGTGAAGCCTCCTTCCCTCCCTCGGTTTGCAGAGCATCTCTGTGGTCTAGTTTTGGCCAAACATCCACCTCTTTTCGTTGGTTCCATGGTGTCTGAGTGTACACTGAGGAGCAGGCACTCAGCAGTCCTTGGGCATCAGCTCACTTCATCCTGCTTGATAGCCATATTTTCTTGTTATCTCATTTTATTTTCCTTCTGAGAGGTTTATAATTTGTTAAAAATTTCTTTGGAAATAGTTTGGAAGTAAGATCTCTTTTTTCCCTTCCTGCCTGCATCCCTCTTGTGTATAAACATACATGAAGCTCTGAATTTCCCCATAAACGCTGAAGATAATACACACCGATGAGAAATTTTTATGTTTACTGTTCCAATCCAAAAAAATGTCTGGATCTTTGCTCAACTGATTTGAAACCACAGTTTTTGTTGTTTATCTTTGCATCATCTAACAATTCTAGGTGTTGTTAACTTCATTTCTCATCACCACCAATTCCCAACCTGTCACTTGGATTCTGTGTCTTACATTTTGATCCACACAGAAACAAGTGCAATCTTTCATAAGTGATGTTTTCAGACAGGATGAGTAGGCAGTGCAAGTCTGAAGATGTCTTTCTGTCTATGAAAGCAGTTTGGCTGGAGAAAAAATTGGGGGTTGTGTATTTTCCTTCTGAGTTCTCTGGATACACTTAGTACCCCGAGGAAGTCTAACTGAAGATTTCCCTTTGTAAGTAATTTTTTTCCACTGTGGATATTTGCAGGATTTTCATTATTTGAAACAAGCTTTTAAAAAGTGAATAATACAATAGACTATGCTAACGTGTGAGTTTCTTTACCATTTTTAGTCAGCTATTGCAGTTGGAAGACCCAAGTTTTGCATGTGGGGAAAATTTGTGTTTCTTCGTAATTCACAGATGTAGGGTTTCTGTAACACGGTATCACTCTGCTTAGCCCCAACTCCCCCCTCAGGTGGCGCATCCTCAGAAGGTGGCAGTTCCTCTGGGGTTCCCTGGAGGAGACATGCTGGAGACTTTCTGAACTTCCTCCTCTTTATTATAAACACTCATTGTCAAAGGAGGACATTGGCCTGATTGCTCTCATTGACTCCTTGCCCACTTCCTATTTTCTTTCTGTTTTATCGTTGTGGGAAGACATCTGTATGTGTAAGATTAAAACTTCAGATGGATTCTCAGAGATGCTGTGGCTTACTTCAGGGGAGGACAGACCTTCCAGGTGTGGTCCTATCTCCTCTTGCAGCTGAAATGACACACTGGCTCATCTGCGTGGGCGGGACCAGCGGTGGCGAGAGTCTCTGACGTGCTGAGGGCTCTGCTTCCTGGTGTCAGTTTCCAGTGGCCTCTGTGCTGTGCTGGCCCTTCCTGTCCTCAGAGAGGTGGCACTGGCACTGCCCTTGCTTCATACGGGGCGCAGGCTCTGCTCTCTCACCAGCATGCCTACCCGAGGACAGAGGTGTGCCAAGGCCACAGCCCTCCATTGTCCAGTGGCCCAAGTGTCCTCCCTCACCCCGGCCATCTCAGGCCTTCATCCTGGGAGGACAATCTAGGATCCCTTCCAAGCACAGTGTCTCTTGTGCTTCCTTCTTGTGTTCCTTCCTTCTCTTGTGCTTTCCCTTCAACTGGCCCTGCCTAAGGAAGCATCTTGCAGAAATCCGTTGACCATGTGCAAATGGAATTTTTTTTATCTGATTTTGGAACCAACAAAGACCTTTCTGTGTTTTATATTTTGCTAAACTCTGAGGAGCTCTGGGTGGGAGACTGAGGTGGCTCCACGTGGTGGCACCACTTCTCTGGAGTAATAATGATGGGCTGGACAATCTAATCACATCCACAGAGGAGTTGCCAAGCCAGTTACCATCATCCACCACTATGCTGGTAACAAAAACGCTTAGGGTTGTTTATGATCTGGAAATATGTTCATAATAAACCATCACATAAAAAAGCATGCTTTTCAACAAGACAAGCTCAATTTTACATATATAAAGAATACATATATAGAAAAAGACAGGACACACTGTAAAAAGTTAAAAATAATTATATCTAGGTGGTAGGAGAGTGGATCACTGTTGTTTTTCTTATTATTTTATATTTTTATTTTAAAATGTAGTCTTTTGTTATGGATTAAGCTGGACTTTTTTTTAAAAATAGGGATAAGTCTTTGGCTTAAAAATAAATCTACACGAATTTATCCCAAACCCTCAAATTTCAAAATGAGCAGTTCCCCAGGTAACCAGGAAGTCAGAGGTGTGGCCAGGACTATGGAGAATCCATTCTACCTCCTTGTCTGTGGGACCTCCTGCCCCTGGGTTCTTCCTGCACCCTGCAGGGGCTGCTCACAATTCCCCCGGTCCTCCTAAGGGTGGCGCTCTACAGATGGCTGGAGAGCAACTGTAAACCCCTCACCCCCACGACCTGAGGCCCTGAGAAACTCACATGCACTGATTCCTGCAAACATCTCAGCAAACCGGGGGTCTCTCTCCTGGGAGAAGATTGCATCTGCCTTTTCCACTGATTTCCCAGCCTCGTGAACACCAGCAGGTAAGTTGGGGACAGGGACCTGTTGGCACATTTAAACATAACACCACCACCATGTGAGGCAGTTGCCACCTTCCTTTGGCAGTGCCCTCTCCCTGGAGCTGCCAGCCCTTCAGCCCTGAGTGTTTTCACAAAGTATAGTCTCTGCTCTCTCTGAGTGCAGGGACAGCCAGGCTAGGGCGTGCACTTGTCAGAGAACATGATTCACACCAGTTACTTTCCTAGACAGAGATGACTAGAAAGGAGTCAACTACTCTAAATGTCAGAAACCAAGAACGGAAAGTATAATTCAGGAAAGAGCAGTCAAATACTGACACGTGCCAGTTTCTCTGTAAGGCCGGTTTCAGAGGCTGGGAACAGAGAGAGAGAAAAAAGCGGGGAGAAGGGACAGGAGAGACAGTGCAGGCAGAGGGGGAGACACAGCGTGACCTCAAGGGGGCCCGAGGAGAAAGGGACGCAGGCCCAAAGGTGGGTAGCAAAGGCAGGTGTAGGACCTGCTTGTCTTGGCCTCTGAGGGTGTGGGCCCTAGAGTCTCAGCAGGGCCTGTGACATGCCCATCGGCCCTGGGGACCCAATGCTCTGTGCACTGCAGAGAGCACACAAGTACCAGGCAGGAGACAGCTCCAGGCAGGATGGAATGTTCCAGAAGGTCACCTGAGACAAGTCGTAGGAGGACAGTCCATCTCTCTGATGCACCTCCAGCTCCGCCTGCTGTTGCTGCAGCTGCCTGTGGAGCAGAAGTGGACAGAGGTGTGAGGAGGCGGTGAGAGGCCTGAGCTAGGGTGCTGGTCCCCAAGTCACAGTGGGTGACACCCAACAGATCTCACAAACAGTTTCCACTGCTAACTATCTTATTTTTACTGCCTCAAATCCCTTTGGTTCAACTTGAGATGACCACACTGAACTACTCATGTAAGTTTTGATGTATGGCTTCATTTTATGCAGAGTTCAAAGATACCACACCATAAAGAATACCTTATAAGCTGAAACTCAGAAAAGCAGTTGGATTTAATGCCGAACAAAGCAGCTGGCTTCAGCTAAGCCCACCTGTCATTGGCAGGCATTCAGACTGCCTAACACTGCATGTCTTTGGTAGTCACTCAAGCCACCCTCCGACACTAGGAAGCGGAAGCCGGAGCGTTGGCAATAGACTGGGACTTGCTTTCAGTTCTGGTCCTCTCTGGGCTCCTGAAGCAGGGGAGGGAAGTGCCTTTCTGGGGAAGGAGAAAATGAGGTCTTGGTGTGGCTGGCAAGTCCCCAGCACCAACCCCAGTGGCTCTGAGGTACAGACATCAGCATCTCCATCCCATCCATGTACTTCTGCTCCTGCAGCTGAGTACATGCACAAGAGGCACTGCCCCGGGCCTCTCCGTTCTGAGAAGGAGAACGGGACTTCTCAGATGCCTCAGCACTATATAAAAGCAAATCTCAGGGAGCTTGCATATTCCAGAGAGGGAGCTGAGTGGCAGCACATGGCAGGGGGCTGGGGGTGCCCCCTCAGCAAACGCTGCTCTCCTTAGCTGGGGAGAGCATCCCAGGACCAGAAGGCAGTTTTCCCAGCTGCTTCTTGCTAGCCAGGTGCTGGTGCTAAATGGGGGCTGCCATTGATCCCTGATGCTTCTTGGACAGGAGTTTTCACTCAGCCTGAGTAAGGGAGAACAAAACCTTTTAGGGGGACATCAGAGGCAACCAGAACCCAGCTGGGGCATCCAGCCTCAGGGAGAGGGGCTGTTAGTGCTTCCCAGGGCCAGGGAAGGGGTTTGGAATTGATGGGATGGGGCAGGGAACAGCATGGGCCTGAATGTGTTTCAGAGCTTGCTCACTGGGACTCCCGAACTGGCACAAAAGGGCCTGAAGGAAGGCAGAAGAGCTGGCTCGAGGCCAACAGGCACCTGTGAGATGGCAAAGGCTTCCACCAGGCATTGGGTGGGGATGCTGGAGAGTCCTGGGTGGAGCCTGGAGCCCTGGTTCTGCATCAGGTTAAAGAGAGGCAAGGGCTGGGGACAATTCAGGCTTGGTGACTGAATGTCTCAGTCCTTTACTGGCTCTTGGCTCTGCGGAGACCAAGAATCTCCCTTCCCTTCATTTCCCTTCTTTTGTACCCACCCCTGTTCTTGGCCTCCCATTTACCACTAACCAGGTAACCACTAGAACCATCACTAAATACAGAATGGTCAACTGGCTCAGAGAGACTCAGGTGTGACTCTGAGCTTGTTGGGGCTGTAAGAAACACACACACACACACACACACACACACACACACACACACACACCCCTGCACAATAAGCACTGTGCTCATGAAAACCAAAGGCCACAGGAATGAGGGCTTGGCCCCAGGACATGCAAAGAGATGAGTAGTCTGGATCCCCTCAGGGCAGCCAGGCACATAAGCGTGAAAACATCAGGGTGTGGGGTTCAAAGTCAGCTAATAACTGGTCTCGGGAAACAGTATCAACCCCCAGGAGTGTCAACCCCCAGGAGTGTCAACCCCAGGCCCCCAGGCCTGGTGGGGTTACAAGATGTACACTGGAATCAGCTTTGTTTCCTGGACTCCTTTCCATATGGACGGAACAGGAAAGAAGCAGAGTTGAGAAAGAGGTCTTTTCAGCAGCCTCACACAAACGCTAACCAGGCCACACTCAGCATCTCCAGGAAGTTTCTTTTGCATGCTTTCAACTGAATGCAAGGACTGAGCTTATACATCCCCACTTCCACGCATACTCCTAGAGAACTTCTCCCTCTCAAGTCTGGGCTGCCGGAGAAGTTCAGCTTCAGGAATTCAAGAGAGGCAGCTGCTCACATCCATGGCCATCACTGCCCTCTACTGTTCACAGGGGGCTTTTCCAGCTCACACAGAAGACCTTTCAGGTCAGAAGACTTCAAATTGAGCATCTGGGCTGACTCTGTGTCCTTGGGTGATCTGATCCCGTGATCTCCAGAGTTGCTAAGGACCACAGTCCTAAGCAAGTGGGCAGGCACCACTTTGCACAAAAGGGTGCTCTGTGTTATCAGTCCTACCCGACTTTCATGAAGAAATGGGAAGAAAACAAAGCCTCAGTGGTGAAAAAAACCCACAGTCAATTTGATCAAATGTCCAAGTTTAACTGGATAGACAACGACATAGAAAAAATGAGGTAACAGGTCTTTGCATGACAGGGTCTACGACTTCCCATATTTCTCCCTATAACAGTTATGAGTCTAGAATGGAAGCTGGAGGGAGAGGAGGAACAGAGCCCTGTTCCAGGTGAGCCAGCAAGGGATGTCCAGAAGGAGGAGCTGTCACAGCTCTGGAGAAGGACTGGTGGCAGGGACTTGCCTGTGTGGTCACTGGTGGCCATGGGACAAGTGACTGCAGCAGTGGTGGGCCAAGAATAGCTTCAGGGGCTGAGGAGGGGACTGCAGAGGTGGGAGGGACAGCCATGGTGGCCTGGCTGGACAGGGTCTTCCCAGATCCAAGGGGTCCCCTGGAAGGGGCTGGGTGAGTGAGTGCCAGGGAGGCAGAGAGCACACGGGAGTAGGAAGACCTCACCCAGGAAGGAGGCAGAGGGCAAGGACCAAGTTAGATTTTCAGCAACTGCAGAAAGCATGCGGGCCCTGGCCTCCCAGCCAGTGGTCTCTGCCCACATTTTGGAGAAGAATGTGGTGCTGGACTTGGGGAAGCAGAGGAGAGCTGCTCAGACAGGGCAAGGTTGATGTTACCACCATCACTACCAGGTCAGGTACAGCTGCTGCAGCTACACTGTGCTGTGCTGGCTCTGCCCATGGCACTCTGGGCATGATATAGGCAGCACCGGCCCAGGACCTGCTTAAGACTCTAGGGTTCTGGGAGAGCAGGTTCTGCTGCTGTCCACACTGGGCTGAGGGTGGGAGCTGGGATTGTAACCCAGGAGGCTCTTGTATGGACTCTTCCCCATCCTGTGCCTTGTCCCCAGGAGTTGGGCAGAGGCTGAGGGTGCAGAGTTGCTGCGGCCTGGGACAGGAAGCTGCTTCTCCAGCACAGACAGGGCTCCCACATCCAAGGGGACTTTGAGACAGCAGCAGTGGACAGAATGGGGTGATGCTGGCATCTGGGTGGGGAGTGGTGGGCTTCAAAGAGGGCCTGACCGGGTTTTGAAGCTCAGAAAATGGAGGAAAGTGGCGCCACTGACCACAGCAGGGAGATAGGAGGACAATTCTCAGCACATAAGCCTCATCCCACACCAGTCGCCCCTGGCAGGGCTCACTTGCTGCGCATGTCTTTGTGTTGGTGTCTTGGCTTTGCACAGATGCTCCGTGATGTACAACAGGTTATGTCCCAGGGAACCCATCTCAGCTGAACTACACCCTTGCCCACCAGCCTCCCAGCTGAGCCCCAAATGCTGGACATGAAAGCACAGTTCCTGCAGAGTATGCACCACATTCACAGTCTCCAGAAGGTGGAAGCCAAAGGCCGCACCATCCTGTGTCTGGATTGTGTGTATTTCCCTGAGTCTGAGAGCAGAGAGAAGGCACAGCTCCCCTGGTCACGCTCCCCATGTGTACACCTAATTCAGGACTGGTCACAGCACTGAGCCTGACCCTGTCATCTTCACGGTGACCTCACAGGGAGGGCCATCTGCCCCTTCACTGAGCAGGAAGTGAAGGCCAAGAGAGGTTGCAACTGGCTCAGACACACAGCTAGAAAGTGCAGAGCCAAGCCAGAGCATGGATCTGCCTGTCCCTGGGCACTAAGTACTCACAGTGCACCTCACAGCTGTCCTGATGCCTAAGCCCACATCCTCCACCCCAGCTGCAGTAGGGCCAAGGAACCAGAGAAGCACACTGCACAGAGCCCCATTCTGCAGGGCACTGAGCTCAGGGGAGACAACCAGGAAGGCCAGCAGTGCCTCTGAACCCAGATACTCAGTCCTATGGATGCTTCTGAACAAGGAGGGATGCACCCTCTGCTGCTACGCTTACCCCCAGTCCCTAGGGACTTCCAGATGCAGGCAGAAGCTGGGAACAGAAAGAGCCCTGGACACGATGGCCTGCTATGGACGTGCCAAGAGTAGGTGGATGCCGGGATGGGGGGCCACGTACTTGACATTGGTGTTGGTGCAGATGATGTACTCAATCTCGTCGGAATAGGGGTTCTGGAAGGTGAAGCTGCTGGTGCGGATTAGCACCCACTCCCGGTTCTTGGTGCGAAATCGATACATGACTGACAGCACTTGGCCCTTCAGCTTCACCACCTGAGAAAACATTTGGGGAAGGAAGTCAATAGGAGAAACGGTGCCAGACAGCAGAGGGAGAGGCACCAGCAGGGCCATGCTGTGAGGGCCAGTGGGACCTCAAAGTAGGGACACTGCAGTGACAAGACAGCAAGAGAGGAGAGGGTAAGAGAGAAGAGGTCCGCTAAGTGACAGGACTGTTCGTCTGCTTCCTCTCTGAAACAGGCCCTTCTGTCACCACTGCATGAGAAACCCACTAGCCAATGCCCATGGGACAGCAGGACTATCAGAAATCAGAACATGAGAGCTCTGTAAGAGCTGTGTTTTCCTCTTCGCTTTGGCTGCTTGGTTATCTGGGAGTGGTGCTAGTCTCTCCCGGAGTTATCACCTCTCCTGAGCATGCAGCTACACTGTACTCATGGATTTATTTCTTCATAACTCACATAAGAAATTCTCAAAAATGGATTCCAAATACTCTCTCAGAGGAGCAGTCACAAAACGACAGATCTGTATGCCTCATTTATTTGCACGTCTATCTGTGCCTCCTTTTGTGTTGGGGTGTGGTATGGTTTCCAATGTGCTTTCAAATGCTTTACATCGGATACATCCTCACAAGGGTTAGGCGAAGTGGGTTTTACAGATGACAACACTGAGACTCGGGGAAATTAAGTAAGTTGCCCAAGATCACACAACTTTGATGGACAAGCTGGTACAGGAGCCAAGATCTTACTTCTAAATCATAAGCCCTTCTCTGGCTACACAACCTGCCCTTCTGCTGTTTAGACAGACACCACCACCAAGGCAGTAGCGACAGGCAGCTGTGCAGATGGCCACATCTGGTGCAGACTTCACAGCTGAAGCATCCATTGATGGTCCAGGCCTGGGAGTGATCATAGCACCAGGATAAGATAAGGTGACCAAGACCTTCCATGCGGGCCTGCGTAGCCCCGAGCCCACACCTAGTCAGGCCCGTACATCTCCAGGCTTCCTGTCTAAAAGCTCATAGCATGTTCGCGGATAAAAATGGGGCTGGGGTCCAGGGCCAGGAAGCCCAATTCTCCGTTTCCTAACACTGCCTGCATTGGTGCCTTTGCTCCCTGCTGGGTGCTGTTGTCTCCAGCAGAATGTGTGCCACATGGGGATAGAGATGTCTTGGTCACCTGAGCCTGCCCTGCCCCAGCCCTGAGCTCAGCATAGAGCAGGCACCTAGAGCACTTCCTGAGCCAGCCTGGGTGGGGGAAACACAAGGCTCCCTGCTGGGAAACCCCTAGTGATAAACAAGCTCCAGGAGGGCAAGGCCTTCCCTCCCACCTTAGAGGATGCCATGGATCTGTTGCCGCAACAGGACCTCGGTTATTCCCTCACAGGGCCCAGAGGTCAAGGCCACATGCTTATCAGGTCCCCACAATGGGGGACTCGCTTGGGGACTGCTCTGTGGCTACACCAAATACAGGGGCAGCAGGGAGTTGCTGTCCACTCCTGGAGACCCATGTCCCCTTGTCTTGCCTACCTTAGATTTTTAACTCCCTCTAAGCACAGGGAGGGCATTGTCTGTGTTCAAAGCCAGGCCTGGGGGCTGGGGAGACATATGAGATGATGGGACCCTCCAGGCCTGCAGCTGGCAGGGGCAAAGTACCTTGTCTGTATTGCTTCGCATAGCCTCACAACTGTGTTCCGGTATCTGGAAAAAGGGCTTCAAAGCAGCACCCTGCCCAAGGTCTCACGGTGCTGGGTCTTAGATGCACCAACCTCAGCATCCTTTCCATGAGTCCCTACTGCCCTGCTACAATCCTTCCCCAAAGTGCTTCTCACCTCTCAGGGATGGGACAGATGTGCAGCTAACTGTAACCCAGAAGGCATCTGCTAAACACCACCACACAAGCCAAGACCAAATGTCCCGAGGCTATCAGGAAGGAATTTCCTGGGCTGGGGGGGGGGGAGGCGGGGTCTGCTCATAGGTAGGGGTGCATCAAATGTCAGCAAGTGAATGTGTGCCAGGAGAGCCTCTTGGTAGGAGGCACAGCAGAAGCCAATTCTGCAGGCTGGGAAAGCTGAGATGTGATGGAGGACTGGACTACACCGCCCTGGGAACATGGTCCAGCTCTGAACATTGTGCTCAAGTCAGGTGTGGTGCTCATAACGGGAGATGCAAAGGTCAGGCCTAAACCCCAGCAGAGCTTGGCTCTACATGGAAACAACTCTCTTTGTCATCACCCATCACTATCATCATCACCATTTTATCATTCTCACCACCACCACCAGCAGCAGCGTCCTCATCACCATCATGGCTACCCCCATCACCATCGTCACCACCAACTCCACCCTCACCGTCATCATCACCAACATCACCGTCACTACCACCATCACCACCGTGAGCAGCATGAGCACCATCACTACCATCATCACCACCATCCTGGAAGGTGTGTAAGCAGAAAAGAGGGTGGGAATGGAGCCTGCCTAAGTTTCACTGTGCTCAGCTCTTCCATTTGACGTCCTCGTAAACTGACCCAGAGAGGCAATCTAAGAGCAGACAGGAGTTTGTCACACCCTGGGTCTGCGCGCTGTCACTGCGCCAAACTCAAATTCCTCACAAATTCCATCATGCTCCCTGGCTCTCCTGTCTGGGCTATTAAATGCCTTTGTTTAAATCTAGAGTTCAAGGCTGACTCTCAGCTGGCACAGCTCCCTCCTTGCTTTTGCAAGACCAAGCCACTTCCCTTTATCAACATTTGTTCCCCGCCTTGGCTGCTGGTGGCCACAGCCCAAGGAACACAAGCTCAGGGCCGACGTTGGCCATGCTCCAAGACATCCCCGGAGCTGCTGGGCCACTGCCCACTGCTCCCTGCGATGGGGTGGGGGCACTAGCTCTTGGGCATCGTGGCCCGGCTTCCCTTCCTGCCCAAGGAATGAAGTGGCTGCTGGCATCGCCAGTGATTTAAACTGGCTACTGAGGTGAGATCAGATCTTCAATTCCTTCTTTTTGTTTTCAAAGCCTTTAAGTTTCAGAAATAGCAGTGGGTGGAGAGCCCTGTGTTTGAGGTGAGGAGGTGTTGGGGGATCTTTGGGGGAGGCGGGCCTGGGCCCCAGCCCCAACTCTGTCACTGCCTGGCTGTGGGACCCAGGTCAGACCCAAGTCCTGGTGTGCACTGGGAGAGGTGAGGCTGACAAACTTGCTGTGTGCAGCTGAGGGCCATCTAACGTGATGTATGAAAAGCGGCCTGGCTGGCTGCTAGGCAGAGTGGAGGCCCCTCCCTGTTAGAGGTCCATGTCCACGTGCCCAGAAAAACTAACTGAACCCAACCCAAGCCCAAGGATGCCAGGTGACAGGCCAAGTGTCATCATTCCCACATGCTTCACAGATCTGTGGCACAAGAACTCACAGTGTTGATGCTAATTTCACACTTTTTCTCAAATGAAAGCTACCTGAGTCACTCGGGTGGCTTTGTTAAAAGCCACTCTTAATCCAGGTGTGGTGGTGCACACCTGTATCACCAGCACTCCGGGAGGCTGAGGCAGGAGGGTGGCAAGCTTGAGCCCAATTTCGGCAATTTAGCTACTTATTGAGATCCTGTCTCAAAAAGGGGGTGTGGGTCAGGATGTAGCTTAGTGCAAAGGCCCTGGGTTCAATGCTACAGTACAAAAAAGGGACCACCCTTGTGTGGAGACTGGGCCATTCAATGGTGGACATGAAATAAAAGCACAGACATGAGTCTGTTCACAGGGAGGTGAGGTGTAGTGAAGAAGACAGGACTCCAGCCCAGAGGAAAATGGACAAACACATAAAACTGGAATTGTGTTGAAGATGAAATGAGCCAAGGAGGCTGGGGCCTTGTTCTCAGCTAGGAGGTCACTAGGGGTATCTCTGGTGACATGAGACAGAGACTGATGGATAAAATGCCAGTCGTGTAAAGAGTCGGGAAGACCATTCTAGTCACACCAGGCCATGTGCAATGGCCCTCGTGTGGCCCGGGTTCAAGACAGTAGAAGGTCAGTGTCATACGACCTTGGAGCAATGTCCAGAGGAGGACAGACGGGGATGGCGGACACAGAGCATGAGACCATGGTTCGGAACTTGGACTTGACTCTAGAGCCCCTGAGAAGCTGCTGGTAAGTTGCAAGTAAAAATGAGGCAGAACTTGGGTACAGTTTCAGAATGGCTTAGACGGAAAGGAGTGAAGGCAGGTGCGGCTCTGGAGTGACTGCAAAGGTCATGGGGGACTGGTGGCCGGGGCCAGACAGAGGAGAGCATGGTCCTAGACATCCTCCAAGGCCCCCAGGACTTGCAGAGGGAGCAGGATGGCCGAGGAGAGACGGTCATTTCTCCCAGACAGGTGGGGCAAAGGAGGCAGGGAGCTGAGGAGGATGTGCTCCCTGACTGAGGGTTGTGGGGATCTGGAGGGGACTGGGGACACAGCTTGCAGAGCATGGCTGCGGCCAGGACAGCTGGGTGGGTTGGCCACTGGGCAAGGTACTCCAGGGAGATGGGGCCAGAACAGAGAGATGAGAGAGAGAGAGAGAGAGAGGAGAACGGGGACTAGGAAGAAGAGAGAAAGGAGAAAGAACTCAAGAGCGCCCCCATCACTGCCCAAAGAAGAGCCAGAGGAGGAGGGATCTGCAGGGAGGTGGAGAAGTGAGGAGAAAGTCAGAGTGGGCCTGCTGCAGAAGAAAGCACAGAGCCGGGGGGACGGGGTACTCAGTCCAACGTGGTCTGGAGTAGGACCTTGTCTATGCACAGTGGGAGTGCCCTGTATGGCATGCTGGCCTGATTCACCAGAGCAGGAAGACGACAGTGGCTACCTCCCACACTGTTGCCACTGTCTATGCCATCTGTGTGCACCTGGCCCATAGCTGGTGGTTGGTAAGGAGCAGGTGCTGGGTCAGTGTACACGAAGCCACTGTCAGGATGGCCTCCTGTCAGGCTCCAAGGGGCATTTTCATTCCTCCCCCTCTCCTTCTAAAGCATCATTACTAACAAGCTCCCCTCTCCTCACAGTGTTCACATGTTGGTTCCCATGGCTTCTGCCCCACTTCTGGCCTCATTGCCTCTCATCTGGACAACTGCAAGAGTCCCCAGCTTGTCTTTGCTTCCAGCTACTTCCTTCACCTTCCCTTCTGTACAGCTGGGTTGACGAAGTTGTTCCTCAACACCTACCCAGCCCCAGCCCTCCGGGGAGCCCCGTGTGCCTTCACACAGCCAGAGAACTATAGCTCCTCAGTGGGGCTTTGAGGTCTCTGGCCCAAGGCCTCCCTGGGCATCAGCCACTGCCTTCCATGTCTTCGCTACAGGTCGGCCTGTGTTACTCACCCCCAGAGCTGCTCAGGGTCCTCTCTGCAGGCCACATTCTGCTGTATCTCTGGGCTGCCCTCAGGCTGAAGTATCCTCTCAGTTCCTATGTGTCCACCCTTAGATCATCCCGACTGCCCCCTCCCTGGGGAGCTTTCCTGCCTCTAGCCAAGCACAGTCTCTTCATGTTCTTTGCTCTGTGGTGTTTTCCTCAGGACCCTCAGAGCTCTCTCTTCACAGAGTAATGATTTCCTCGTGGTCCATCTTCCCACCAGCCTGTGCGCTTCCTGGAAGGGCCCTGGCTGACACTTTAGGCAGACGTTTGCAGGCTATACACCACATAGTAGGACACATGTCCTGCTGGCCATCTCCACACCCATGCAGGCTGTGTGTCACTTAGGCAGGCCTCACAGTACCTGCTGAAAGCTCTCTCGCAGGTGGCTCTGATCCTCTGGGTGGCAGAATTCCAAAATGTCCTTTCCCAGAAGGTCCTAAACAAAGAGCAAGCTTTAATGATCCAGATTCCTTCCTCCCTTCCTCCATCTGCCTCCCCGTCCCTTCCTTACCTTTTCCCTTCCTTCCTTCTTCCCTTTCTCTCTACCCCCTTCTCTCTTTTCTTTCTCACTACTGGGGATCGAACCCAAGGTCTCACATATGCTAAGCAAGCACTCTTCCACTGAGGTACGTCCCCAGCCCTATTTTTTTTTTTAATTTTGAGACAAGGTCTCACTGACTTCCTTGAACTTCCAATCCTCCTGTCTCAGCCTCCCACGTAGCTGCGTTACAGATGTGTACCACACAGTCTGGCTTCCAAATTCCATGTTTGATGATTTATCAATCCACCAATAGACAAAAGCATTCATTTCATCTCCCTTAACTCATCTCTTTCAGCCTTTCCCACCACGGATTTTTAAAAATATGGATGCCACTTTGGGGAGGCTCCTCAAAGAGCCAGTCTCTTCAAATTCACTCTAAGTGCCTCTGGTACATTTCATACCAATTTCTAATTTTGCTAATGCACCAGATCAGCAGCTTCCAGAGTGCAATTTTATTTTTGTTTTTTTTTAGAAAGACAAATCGTCATCAATATATTTTTAAAAACATCAGAAGTAGACAAGAGGTGAACAGATGTGCTGCCTATGAAAACTGAAATTGTTTAAATGTAGAAACCACAGCTGTCTGGTGGCCAAGGAAGTGAGGTTACTGTGAAACCACCATTCTTGCTAGAAGCCTGCTTGTTCTGTACCTTCACACGCCTGTTTTATTCAGAGGACCCAGCCTTGACCCCAAACAAACATAAGTTTCACCACAAAGCAGGGCACAGTAAGTAAACCATCAAAAGCAAATGTGTTGTAGGAACCTAGTCCAGTTGGAAGTGCCTTCAGAAATGTAAACTGACTGCTAGATCAGAACCCATGTGAGCCCTGCTGCTGTCTGCGTATGAGCTGAACTGGCTGTGATGGGAAGTCTTATCAGCTTGTCCAGGAGCACCCGGATGCTCATGGGAGGGGCAGGAGATAAATGGGTTTGTCTGGAAATAGTGCCACTGGAGGTTATGGTGAAATTGGAAACAGATCCCTTTTCCTGCTTATTCCATGCAAGAATCTCAATGTTTGCATGAGTCTAGAGATGCAGAATTATGTGACGTATTCTAATATTTCTGCTTTGGTCTATTTCTAGTTCTAAAATATACATGAGAGGCTGTGACACAGCTCAATGGTAGAGCACATGCCTGGCATATGAGAGGCTCTGAGTTCCATCCCCAGCATCATCAAAAAATAAAATATACATGTAATTAAAATACACATATCCCAAAGTTGGTTCTTCAAAACAAAGATGGATTTTTAAAAGATTATTCTTGGCCAAGCATGGTAGCACACGCCTGTAATCTCAGCACTTGGGAGGCTCATTGAAAGTCTGTGGCCAGCCAGGGCTACATAATGAGTTCAAGACCCTGTCTCAAAAAAATAGAAAAGAAAAAAGATTCTCATTTTGAAAGAAATTTAAATCTATATAGAGGTTATAAGGATAGTATAGTAAATGCCTTTCTATCCTTTACATAGATTCAAGCATTGTCAGTATTTTGCCACTTTTGCAATTTCTTTTCTTAATATACATATACTTACACACATTCACATATGTGTACACATACATATTTAACAACTTCCTGCTAAACCACTTCACAGTAAGTTGCAGACATCATTACACATTCCCCAAAGTATTTTAGCATGTATATCCTAAAAATCATCTTACAAAACTGCATATAGCATACTATACCTAAGAAAGTCAGTAACTGATAGAATCACCCAATGTTCTGTACATGTTCATTTTTAAGCTGTCTCCCAAGCCACTTTTCCAGCTAGACAGCTCCAGGCCCAAAACACAGTTCCCACTGCACAGCCTTACTCTGCCTCTCTGGTCCTGACCTGGGACAATTACGCCTGCTCTCTTGTGTTTCCAATGTTGCTGTGTTATAAAGAGCAATCTACAACAAAGGCCTGAAAATACGCCCCAGGTTACAAAGTTTTCCTGAAGGGACTAGGCAAAATTAGGTGTGCACAAGGCTTTGTAGACACTTTCCTGTTAATAAACTTCATAATTCAGACTGACCGATCTGAACTCTGGTTTGAAAATTGAGCTGAGAAACACAACGCTAGGGGAAGAGTAAGGGGTCAACCTCAGCAGTGCCACTGTTTACAGTGAACCTTCGTTTTGGGCGGGTGATGCCCTGTCCAGGCAGGAAGCATAGGCATCCCTGCTTTCTCCACAGTGTCACTGTGCCTACCTTGAACAAAGGAAATAAACACATTTGAGGCAGAGCTCAGTCTCCACCGGTGCACAGCTCACAGCTGGCTCCTGACCTGGGGCTGGTAGCCGATCACACTGATGCACCTCGGGTCCACGAATGTGATGATCCCGTCGGAGTTGTGCCGGGACAGGAACTCCGTGGGCACCGACATGCCGTTCATGTCCATGCACACAGGGGAGCTGGTCACCTGCAACAGGACAGCCCAGCTGAGCGGCACCAACAGAGGCAGAGAAGTGACATCCCAGGCATCTTGATTTGGCCCCACACATTCTTCCACGTCACTGACACAGATGGCATAGTGCTCACTATGTGGCTCTCATGCCCCATTTCACCAACAATGGGTCACTTTCCTTGCATTACTGAGCCTCAGTGTCCTTCTCTGCCAACATGATGATGAAAGCTGTAGCCTCACTGGGTGGTGAGGCTGGACAGAGGTCGCACTGGGAAGCCTGAAGCCCTGTCTGGCCCAGCTGGTGATCGAGAGATGGTAATGTCCTTCCTTCTCCTGCCTTCTCTTCTACTGAGTAGCAAATGAGCCCAGGGAAACAGTTCAACTTTTGAAAAAGAGGTGGTTTGTGCCAACAACAAGCACCCAGTTTGTTGGATATGAATGAAACCACCTGCACATCTGTCTGGAAACAAGGGACAGGAAAGACCAGCATCTTCACCCATGTCCATCCTGAACTGACTCAGTGGTTCCTGTGCTTGTCAGATACTGAGTGTACCTGACTGTCACAAGGCGAAAGGACATGTTCCTTGCCTGAGGACCCCGAGGGTGAGCATACACTTGGCTGACTATAGCAAGACAGATCACAGAAGGGTGATCCTGGAGGCCACAGCTTGGAGCTGGTCTGGGGGAGCGACTGGCTCTGACAAGGAGACCGGGTGGAGCTTTAGCAGGTTCTAGCAGAGTGAGTAGGTGAGAAGGACAAGAGGAGGGGATTCTCCAGGAGAAGAGAGTGGAACACAGCAGACCAAAGAACCACCTCACAGGCACCCTTGGGGATGGGAGGTGGGTGTGGGTGCCTGGAAGAGGAGGGTGTGGCTTGGGAACAGGATGCAGTGGGGAGAGGAAGGAGAGGTGGTGAGGTTGGAACAATGATCAAGGGCCTCGACCGGAGTCCTGGGATCTGGGAGGGGTTGAGCAGGGACAGGTGCAGACAGAGCTCACTGCAGTGACCAGTGAGGCAGGAGTGGACCAAAGCGCACTCTGTGCAACTCGCCCGCTTCTCCTCCCAGACCTGGCCTCAGCCTCGTCCCAAGTGAGACCAGAAGCCCCACAAACACTGAGAAGAGAACCAGAGATCCAAGCGGACATCCCATCACCTGTCCCTTGCTCTTTGCAATTGCAAGCCTCATCAGAGATGGAAAAAACCCTGCGCTTTTCTCTTACCTGGAGTCTCCCGATGGCCACCAGGCAATATTTACTGCCTTGTCCCACGTCAGCGTCTTCTTCGGGTATCGTCATTCCTGAAATGAGAGACGGCAGCAGCATTAACACATCCTAGGTCAAGGGGAGAGGCTAACTACTGTGGTCATGCTGTCCATTGACAACATGGACCCGAGCTGGCCCACGGTGGGGGGGGGGAGCTAAGCAGCCCCTTGCCCACTCTGCCCACCCCCTGATATCTTGTGATAATCTCCTGGTACATTACCACATCTGCACTTGTGGGTCATGCAGAGCAAAGTGAGGAAGACAAAATGCAAATTATTTTATCGGCGCATTTGCACAATTTTGCTGAAACACTTAGGAAGGAAACTGCAGGAAGAAACCTACATGGGGCTTCCATATCATCTAAATATTTCACTTCTCTGTCAACAAAGAATCACAGACTATCAGAAGCAAAAGATAAAAGAAAAACACTGATGCTGAAGTTCTTAACTTGCCTGGCAAATCCACACAGGCCCACATTTCCCCTGGGGAGGAAAGTCAGGTTTTTATGGGCAACGAAGGAGATGCCACTGGGGAAGCACCGCACCCAGGGCTCTGGATAGGAATGAACTGGGCAGCACAGCTCTGCTCAGTGGTCACACAAGAGTCTTCTGTTAGGTCCAGGAAAGGTCTGGCACTGGAAATCTTCCCAGCACAGGGCTCACGGACATTTGCAAGTGATCAGAACTACTGTGGAGAAATGAGCATTCTGGTTTCCTATCCACAGGGCCAGTGCTGTTGCAAGAATCTGCCTCCAGCTGCCTGACACAACTGATATTTCCATACCAGACCTGAGGCCCACAGTGACAAGAACTACCACTCAGGGCACAGTTCTGAGAGCCACAGACACGCCACACCTCCTCCCCACTCACCTCCCTCTCTCTGTCCATCCATGGGCAGAGGTGGCCAATCCCTCTAGTTTCCAGTTTACCTTTGCTGTGTTTCTTTTGCACAAATGCACAGAGAGATGTATATTTTCTTAAATCCCCTTCTTTCTTCCACGAAAAGCAGTGTACAATGCATACTCATGGGCTTTGCTGCCTGTACTTTACAGTATGTCCTGGAATTCCTCTGTATTTGTGGACAGAGCTTCCTCTTCCTAGGTTCTTTCCAGAGCAGCACAGGGCTTGATTGTGTGCAGAAGCTGTATGTGTTTAGCCACACTCTCCTGTGTACGAATGCAGAGGTGTGCCCAGTATCCTGTAATCGGAAGCAATGCTGCCATGGCTAACTCTGCACACCTGCATTTTCTTACCACTGAGTGGTATTTTCAGCGTGGATGCCCAGCAGTGGGGCTGCTGAGTCAAAAAGTAGGCACAGATGTAGCTTTGTTTTGTCAAATTTCCCTCCAGAAGGGTTGTACCAATTTGCATTTCCTGGGGCAACCCATGAGAGGTCTGATTCTCCACAGTGCTGGCTGACAGAATGTGCTGACCCATTATGTATTTAACGTTTGTCAGTCTGGCAGGTGAGAAAATACATCTTAGTGTTGTCTTCATTTGCATTTCTCTAATGATGGTGAGTGTGAACATTATTTCATGATGGAGGGCCCATTTTCTATCTTGCTTTTTAGTGAACTATCTCCTCGTGTTTCTTTCCCATTTTCCTGTTGGGATTTTGGTAATCTCTTAATTTTTCCCTGTGTATTAGGGATCAGCCTTTGTTGTGTATATCAAGAATAATCTCACCCCATTGTCCCGTCTTTTGACTTATGACCATTTAAATTTTTAAAAATTTTTATGTAATCAGATTTATCAATCTTTTTAAAAATTACCTTGGGAGCCTGGGCTATAGTTCAAAAGTCATTTCCTCACACGGAGGTTAAAGTGAAAGTCATCCTTGTTTCCTTCCAATACTTTTATGGTTTCATTTTTACATTTAGATCCCTAATCCAGGCAAAGTTACTCTTCTTTAATGTATGAGGCATACAACTAATTACATCTTTTTCAAAGTGGCTCTTTAGTTGTCCCACAGACATTTAAAACCTGTGCTCTTAAAAAAGGAATCAACATACATCATGTAAAGGTACAAATTCCCTATGATGAATACAATCATTATGCAAATCTAAGTTGTACCAATAAAATTTAAGATGAAAAAAATCCTATGCTCTCAGATGCCACCTCTATCCCATAATAAATTTCCATATATGCCTGAGTCTGACTTTGAACTTTCTTCTGTTCTGTACAATGGTATTCTCTAGCACCAATGCCACCACATTTTAGTTACAGAGGCTTTACTGTTGTCTTAACATCTGATAAGACTTCCTTGGTAGCTTTTCTTTTTTAGTACTTTCTTGGCTATTTTTGAAAATATATTTTTCCACATGAACTTTGGTATCAACTTATCCAACTCCATAAAGTAGCTTGATGGTGTTTTTATTAGGTTTGCATTAAGTGTGAAACAACTTCAGGAGAACTGATACCTTTATAATGTCAAAGCCTCCTGCCCAAGTGCAGGGGTTGCTTTCTCATTTGCTTAGTTCTACTTTTGTGTCTTTCAGGAGCATTTAAATGATTCCTCACATATACTTGTGCTTTTATATTTATTAAAATATTCCTAAGTATATAATCTTATGTAAATGGGTTTTTGCCACCATTTTACTCAGTTTATTGTTCAAAGCTACTAATTTTTTGTATTAACACTACATTGTGCTGCTCCACTGAATTACTGTTTCAGTTAGTTTTATCACTGATTCACAGGACTCTTGCAAGTGTACTGTCATACAATTTGAAAATAAAGGTATTTTTTTCATACATTCATTTGCCTCTAGTTTTTCTTATTTCATTGTGTGTACCTCTATTATAGACAATCCTCATTTAATGACCAAGTTTCATTCCTGCAAGTAGGTTGTTAAATGAATTGGTTGTCTATATATATATGTACAACATTCACAACAAATAAATGGTCAAAGGAAACTCCAGCTTGATGACTTTGCTTTTATTTGAATAACTCTTAAATGCAGCACTGTGATGTATAACAGAACATAAGAGTACAGTACTGTAGCATACAGTACAACCAGCAAAAATTACAGTACTGTACAGTGGAAGAAACCTTCACAAGGCCATACTGCCACTCATGTTCCTGAATCTTAAGCCTGAGTGGCAGGTGGAAAGTCTAAACATGCTTGCCTCGGTTATAAGTCCAGTCATTAAACAGGTAGGTCGTTATCGGTACAATGTTGAACAGTAAGAAAAACAGTGGCCATTCTTAGCTCAAGGTTTCTCCTTAAGTACTGCTTGTGGACTAAGTCTCTCTCTCTCTGTCTCTCTCTCTCTCTCTCTCTCTCACACACACACATATTTGGTCAATTATTGTTCAGCATAGTGGACAACTAGATTCTGATGTCTGCTGTGCACTCAGTGTTAGAATACTGTATGTTGTTTTAGTTGAGATATATGAGAAAAATATGGCCTCACGTAGATTAGTAGATGGAAAAGGAACAATATTTTCAGAATATTGTAGATATTTTTCTTCGGTATTTTGCCAAATCACAACAGATGGTAGTTTCTTAAAGGTTAGTTACAAAAGGGGATAGAGTAACATAAAACCCAAAACTATACCAATGAATTTTTCATACAGTTATATTAATAGATTGGTTTAAATCTTTGGAAGGATCTCTTATCCACATATAATTTTATATATCATGTATTGGTCATTTAGAAAATATTATTTTACCACATTATGTAGATTTTCTAAATGTTAACATACTACATTATTTAACAGAAAAAAACTCACTTGTTAATGTCACCATGGATCTCATCAGAAATATCTCTAGATGTTGGTCAAGATCACAGTGGTGGATGAAAGTTTGTGAAAATTCAAATTTTCATTAGAAATCTTGAGTCTTATCTTTGATAATATGTACTACCAATTGTTTTCTCATTTATTTAGTTTTTGGAGAAGATACATGCCAAATACTCGAGTCTGAAGAGCTATAGTTTGGTGCCTCTGCATGAAAAAAGCAGCTAGACCCAAACAGCCACTGTGGGCTTTCCCTGAGACCACTGCTGTGGCAGGTGAGCACCAGACCTGGCACACACACTCTCCAGTCCCCAGTTTAACAGGGCTCGCGATTTTCACCATGTCATCAAGGACATTCATAAGCAAAACAGTTCTCATCTCCATTTTCCACATTTGCTTACTTTACCCTCCCTCCCTTCCTCCCTCCCTCCCTTTCCCCCCTCAATTCTTGTTCTGATCTCTGACGTTATCTTTACACAGTGAGTATTCTAAATCCCCTCTTTCACAATGACATGGGTCATACTGGCGGAGGGACTCATCCTTTTCCAATATGACCCCGACTTACCTTAACTAATTATATGTACAAAGACTCCATTCCCAAATAAGGTCACATTTTGAAGCACTGCAGGTTGAGATGTCAACATAGGAAGTTTTTTGGTGCGGCAAATTTAACTCATAAGACCCTCTGTGAATTCTTTATGGTTCTTTTTGGCCTTTTCTCTGCCAGGACAGGTGTGACAGACATTCAGCTCATGAACTGAGAGAATCCTCTCCTGTGCCCAGGATGGGCACCACTAACCAAACACAGACATTTCCCCACTAGTTACAGAAGACTCGTAATCATCAGAATGGATCTATCAGAATGGATCATGAACTAAAGCCTACTTGCCATTTGTTAAACTTAGTGTCTTAATATAAAGTTGTTCACACACTAGCAATAATAATGACTAAACAGAAATTCAGCATGGATATACTGTCAAGTCTGGGAACCTTCTGGTCAGTACTGGGAGACGTGAAGAGGGACTTCATCCCCAGACATTCCCAGGATTCCTGCCGTGCTAGGTGCTTAGAGACCCAGGCAGGCAAGGGAGATCACCAGACACACAAACTTCAGTGATGCAGAGCACAGAGAGAGAAGCCTGCACAGGCCCTGCTGCGAAGTTGCTGGTAGGAGACAGGAAAGCTTTCTGGAGCAGGACTCCATATAGTTGGACCTGGCACACTTGCTGAGGTCCGCAGAGCCCAGGGACAAGCTCTAGTGGCTGTGGGATGACATTAAGGGGAAAGGAGGCACAGG